CACAGCCTCGATAGACCTGCGCTTGCCATTTATTAAGTTGACAATGTACACACTGAGGCAAGGCTCTCTTTTGCATAACTCCCATTGGTCTGTCATAAAAGTCTATAGAGTAACTTGGGCAGGTGCCTAGGTACCTAGGCACATAGATGTTCCCATCTTGTCCCCTCGTCATTTCGTCACATCACGATAGAAGCTGCGGAAATTTTACTTCGTGATGTCTCAAATGGTCCGGCCAGCAACACCTGTATATATCAATAGCGTGTACGACTCAAGTTCAATTGTTGCCTCGAAGCGACAGGCCCTCTGCCTCTCTCCCTCTGTCCCTGTGCTTACGTCGCTCAAGCATACATATGCCCACTGCACGACTTCGGAATCTTTATGCACCACCAGACAAGCCCTGGGGTCGGCATCAACAAATCAAAGTCGACGCTGAAGACAACTTGCAAGCACTTCGTATGACCAAGTCTTCCGCCTGATAAGGCAACCTCATGCCCCCAGGCTCAATTTCAGGCTCAAGCTGATGTTCAGGTTCATGCTGGTGCTTATCTCGTGCTCCGGCTCCGGCTCACAACGCAGAACTCACAACTACCGCCGCACCTACTTCAGGATCCGTCGCGTGGCTTGTTCTACCAGTCATGCCTACATGTGCATCCCATGATTGCCTATGCATGGCACTTACTCAGTCTCATTCTTGCTATTGGCTGGGGGTCGACTGGCCGGAGAATCGTCCTGCAGGTATCCTGCACATCGCGCTTCGTGCGAACCAAGACCTGCCGCGAGACAGCAAGCGACGCCCCCAATGGCATGACTTGCATTGCCCGCAAGGCGTCTGGGGGGGACCTTGGCGTCATTTATCAGCGGAGACGGCAATTCTCTTAGTCCAAGTATTCTTCTCTTCTGGTCATGTTCTTTTCCTCACACTGCGTTGCTAGATTGTACACCGCCGCCATAATATGTGTCGGACTATTACTAATTTCACAACCAACCCCACGGAAACCAGGGGGCCTTATTCCGATACATTCTCGGCATGTGCCGACTCGACCGCCACGAGTCGTAGAAACAGAACGAGCAATACTCTGTACAAGCGCGACTGGTGGGCGCTCAACTGTAGCGTTCTGTGCCGCCTTGCGTTTACGGCTGGCCCAATGCCGGTCGCACGTCAAAATTGGTGTAACCCCCGGGCAGACTTCTCGTCAGATATGGCCTTGTCGGTTCCTGGGCTCGTTTCACTCCAGTGGGTTGGTTCTCCTGGGCCCAGCTCACAGTTCATATCCATCACACGCTCAGCGACAACGCCCTCTTAAACTCAACGGTATTTACTGATTGTGTGTGTACGCCATCGTGGTCTTTTTGATTATACGAGGGCTGTCAAACCCAGCTCTTGCAACCTGGCGTCACGGATCCAGGGTGCACAGGCAGAAGAGCCCCAGCGCTCGGACAATTTGCCCTACATGACGGGGGTAATTGGTTCGGATGAGCTTTGTCTTTGAAGCAAGCTGTCTCCTCTTCTTTGCAATTCACACGACACACCAGTGCGTGTGGCCAGCAAGCGGCCAGCAAGCGGCCAGCAAGGGTCTCCCTGTTCTTTGATCCATGTTCTCCGTACGGAGTATCGCAAATATACTTTCGGGTGTCTGATGGGCCGTTTCCTAGCTGAAAAGGGTGCATTGCTTGTTCTATTCTGGCCTCCAGGTGCTCGGCGTTCTGGTAGAGCCGATCTACGGAGAAGTTGGGACATGGCAACATGGCTACTTCCATGCAAGTACGGATGTATGTACATGATCGAATTCTTCATGCAAGGCGCGAGAGTGCCCTTGCTGTATGTACATACTGATGGACGTTCTTTGCCAGCATCCACCAGCAAGGCCAGGGTATTGCATACCAAGAACCTCCGGGCGGCATTCTGGGTGCATTTTTTCCTTCTCTTGGGCAAAGCCTGCCTTGCCAAAACAGTCGACCCATCCCCGTCCATCCCGCTTTGGCCTTGCAATCGTCACACTGTTTCCCAATATATAGAATACCAGACCAAGAATGGGTCCACAATGCCTTTTTATTCTCGATACCGATCGACTCCAACTTCTTGGGCATTGCAATCGATTGACGGAACAGTTTGTATCCAATTACTACTTGGTACGGAGTAGACATGCGGGCATAAGGCTACTCACTCACTCCGGCTTTGGCCCACTCCCATCATACACACTCTCTTTGACGTTTCTCCCTTTGTAATGTGTGCCTCTGAGCAGCACAGACACCCAGCTTGCTGTTGTCCCTCACCCGTAGTGTGGTCGTATTCTTGGTGAAAAAAAAAAGGTGAGACAGGCTCTCATTACTTTCTAATTTCTATCAAGTCGCTGGGACGTGGCTCTGTCCCCGGTGCTTGGCCACTGATGCACCGTTTGTCTCATGATGCATCTAAACACCCCTTGACTCGAACTTGCCCGCAACAGTTTCCTAAGCGTACGAAAATAGGATTTGGGTTGACTGGGAGTGGACTCGGGGCCCCAGTCTGATTCTGATTTATACACAGCCACCTCGTTTCAGACAGCCTGATTTCAAGTCTCTGGAAGCTTTGGCTCAATTCCAAGTTGCTCGGGCCGTCCAAGATCTAGCATCCTATCCTGGCACAACGGTGAGCACAGTTTTCAAACCCCGACTCTTGGGCTCTGTCCCAATGCCATTGTGTACGCCTGTGTTTCGGCCGTTTCGATCTACTCGGGTGCGAGGTTGTCAGTGCGAATGATCCACTCGTCGTCGATCGCATCAATAAGTCTGATGGCTTTTTCCTTCATCCCTCTTGTCGATGTTTACACTTGGTCCGTTAATCTGTTCTTTGCTGCTTTCTTTTGCTAGTGTCGTGTTAATCAAATAGCATTGACGCGCCACTTCAACATCAGACGTCTTTTGCATTTCTGAGCGAGACCTCGGGCTTCATGATTGACTCGTGTTTCCTGCAAGCTGTACTTTACATTGCCCTCTTACCTACTAGCCTCTGTTTGATCGGAGCCTCAGCATAATACGCTTGGCTTGTGTTTCCTGACAAAGACAAAGGCGAGACTGTCCAAGTAGGGAGGTCACACACTCTTCTTTGCTCCTTTTGTTTTAAACATCACATCATTTAATGAATGAACCAGGACTGAGACGACGACTGGAGGTTATACTTTTCTTATATTAATGCACCAAGAAACGACTCGTTCTTCGAGCCATATATCATCCGTTTACCCGCTGACCGCTTTGCATGGTTTCAGGCCGGAAGATGGACGTCACTTCACTGCTGAATCAATCAGCTTCTTCAGGTTGTGATAGGATTGAGGGAGAGACCACACCAACATCGGCAGTATTCAAGCAAGGAGGTTTGAAATCAGCTTCGTTACCGACTCCCTCGCCTGAGAGAACAACACCACAGCAAGACTGGGAATCAATATCTACCAAGAACAGGACACCATGGAGCGCGGGAGGTTACGCACTACCATTGCAAAGTGAACCCGAATTTCGCTCGAGTTCAATTTTTTCATTTCGTTCAGGGAGCGAAGTGCTCGATTCAGACGGTTCTGTCGACTCTCTAGGCCTTGGACGACACTCAAGGCACGGATCAACCGACTCAGCTTCGATCGATATGGAATCCTCCCAGCCGTCCCTGCCATCCAGCAGGCTGCAGAGTTGCCGGTAAGGACTCAGTCATGCCTTTTGTTGCTCCCCCACCGATAACGGTTTGCCCTGACGCCCCGAGCTTTATTTAGGCCGAGTCATTGGGAAGACCGCTCCCAGACGGGCATAGAAACCCGCGAATCCATGGGTCACAAATTCTCTGATAGCCACAGCAGCTTGTCATCGTACGCTTCGTGGAAATCTAGGTCACATTCCAGAATATCGTCTGTGACGACAGTGAGTGGTATCCATAGTGCCGGTCCATCGTTGACGGAGTTACCATTACTGGAGACGGCAATGGCATCACACGGTGAATCATATCAGACGCCGACCTCCGCAAACAAAACACCACATTTATCCGGCGGCCGACTGCCAACGAGTAATCGAATTGGAGAGATGGATGTTCCAAAAAGGAGTGGTAGTCCATCAGACGCCGTTCTCAACATGAAGGGCGCCATCAAACCCGCTCAAACTGGGACTCATACGGGGTAAGTCTATCATCTTTATAATTCGATCTATCTCTGCGTTTTGTGTTCAGTCACTGTAATATCTTCCCTTTGTCCCACTTAGACACCAGGCTGTTCCTTGTTGATTGCCTGTGATGCACATTGAGGCAAGGCGGGCGCATTCTATTCAAGTGAATAGACAGATTTGAGCTCGAGTTGCAGTCTCATCGTCCCTTTACCCTGTCCCCAAAGGCAGAAAAAGGATATCGAGCCCGATTTCTGAGGGAGAAAATGGTGCTGGCTTCAGCTATGCTCAAGTTTTTGCCGCGTGGATTGATCCGATGCCAGCTGTGAGCTGCTGAGGTGTTGTGAATCACTCACTACTTCACACACATACTCATCATCTACCACAATCATGTGTTCACACATACGCCGTCAACGTGACTGCCCTATCTGAATAGGATTAACAATTGCTTGAACCCAATTCATAGCTCTTTACTCATGCTTTGTTTACACTAAGCAACACTGCCAGTATTTATTGTCCGGCTGTCAGCTTGGGTTGACGGGCCTTTGAAACAACAGGGCCTATGAACTTGACGACTGTCTCTATTTGCAAGTTGCAATGCCAATGTTCTTGAGACTTTCCCCCTCCCTTTCGCCATCATATGTATTGATGATCTTTTTTTTCGTTACTGGGTCTACAACGCATATTATCAACCTCCCATGCTGTCAACATATTTGACTAATTTTACTTCAAGCGACGCATCGTCCAGAGAACCTCGATTTCCTGGCTTAGCAGGCTCACACAAGCGAGCCATCTCCGCGCCAGACCCGTCGATCGCTGCTGAGTATTTTCGGGGAAAACATTTCCAGCATCCGCGCTCTGTACTCCCTCCCCCACGGGAGGTCATGGCTATCGCAGAAGACACCAGCTCACTTGCAGTGGGACAAAGCAGCCCTCAAAACGAGGAATTGATCGGCACTAAGTACAACGTTCTGGATCACACTGATAACAGTGAAACTGATTGCCAAGATGAGAGACACATTATTGCTGGCCCGAAACCGATTCGGACTCTTTCGTCCCCAGCCGTTTCATCTTCAGCGCTCACCAATGAGCATTCACAACTTACCAAGCCATCCAACCCCTCCACAACTCAAGCCGAGGATCTCGATGGGAAGACTGCTTGCATGTTTGTTGAGGATTGTGATACTGGATCGCAACTTCGCAAGGCTATATCTCACTTATTTGGTCGCAACAAAACATGCACGCTGAAGATACCGAAGATGGTGTGGGTATACTATTGCCGAAAACACTACCAGAGAGTCCGCTATCGCAATGCCAAAACATACCCTATTACTCAGATGGAACTAGTTCAGACGCAGATCGAACGTCTAAAGGCTTGGAGCGACCGAAATCAAGCCACAGGAGAAGGCCCTTACATTAACTCATGGACTCTGTCACTCCGAAAGCGAGAAGAGAAACGGCTTCAGGGTGATAAGAGAAGGCATGAAAGAGGGACAGAGCCACCCGAAGTAGGAACGGGCCACATCCCTGCCTGGATCATCGAAGAGTTAGGTGAGGGTTACGATACCGAACGCATGTTCCAGATTGCGGGACGTCTTCGAAAAGAGATCAAGAGTGGTATCTTGACACAAGTCCCCGAGATTGAATTCTTGCCGGACATTGTGGGCGACGATAAGGACAAGGAGACGACTAAATCAGCTCGTCAACGAAGACAGAACAGTTCAACGTCCATAACAAAGACGCCGAAACGAAAGGCACCCGACTTTCAAGTCATGACCCAACCGGGCCCGATGTACCATGACATGGGCTATGCGGGTTACGTCCACGATGGCGGATACGATGCTGAAGATGTGGTTAGTCCTTCGGGGAAACGACCGCGAACTGCTCGAGCTGCAGCTTTTCTTGCTGGGCCTCCAAACCCTTACACCACGTCTTCGTACTTGGCTGGCTCCGAGGGTCCCCCGCGTGCGCAAAATGTTGTGCCCAAAATTCAGCCGATGGATTATCACAATCCCTACGCCCATAGCGTCAACAGTGGGAGGTTCGAGCACACACACCCAGTGCAAGGCCATGCCCGTGTAGCATCTTACAACTGCGTTCCTTCAGAATCAGAGTATGCTCCTGAGCCATATTATCAACATCACAGAGCGCCTGGCTATGGACATGTGCCAGTGCACTTCTCTGGTAGTCAGAGCAGTCCAAACTCTCCTCCAATGCTGCCTTCCATTACGGCGCAGATGAACAGCACTTGTATCTCATATCCGCGCCACGGAAGTCCTTTATCAGGGGCGAGGTCTCATACGCGTGGATCATCACGACCTATGCATCAGAGATCTGCTAGCGCCTATACCCCAGGAAGGCGAGCTGTCCCTATGTTGGGTCGACCGTCTAGCTCAGGCAACGGTCACACCATGGAACATGCCAGATACGAAGCGAATAGACACGTGCCACCCCCTGCAATGTATGATGGTGGACATCACGGCACTCAGAGTTATGCTGAAGGTGACTTGCGGCACCATCAGTATGGAAAGCCTGTTTGGGACTCAACTTATGCACCTCCAGTCCCGCCTCTTCCCAACCTTCATAATCAGTATTCATATGCCCATGGCCCAAGCTATGGCTCCCCTTCCCACGCGGGAATGACTGCTCACAGCGGTGTTCTCGGTGATGCCAAGAATGGCATGTCGGCGTATCCTGAGCCTAAGGGAACCTCGGGACTACGATCTGCGTGAAGCTCCAATTAGCTCTCAATTGGCAGCTGGTCGGCTAATTGGCTGACCTTGTACCAACACTATTAATTGTCTTATACACCCCCTTTCGATCCTTTGACATTGTGGCGTACGGTGTCCACACAAGACACGGCTTGGCCGTTGACTACACATTCCTTTAGACTTATGCTCCTATTAGTTTTTTTTCTTGTTCAAGTTCGCATCCTTTCTGCCCTGTATAATGGCACCGGGAGTTATGACAGTACCAAATATTCCTCTTACATCAGGGGCCGCGCGATTAGGATAATCAGCCAACCTCGAGTCGCAGGCCACAAAAGCAGTCGATTAGTTGGGGGGGTGTTCACGGCGAATGGAAAGACAGATACTCCGGATCACAATCGGGATATTATGTACTATCGGAAACAGGAGACAAGAGTCCAAAAGAACGAGATGAGTTATGACAAGACACGGAGTGTTTTTGAGAGAAAGTCTGCTGGTTTTTGTTTCTGGTGGCAACTATATACATAGCCTAGATAATTCTGTACCTAATACGCGAGCCGATATATCACGTTGATGCCCGTGCCTCGCCGTTGCCGAAAGAAGATGACCAAAAACAGCCCCTTCACGTATGCAACTCCCAAAGTTTTGCGTAGAGCAAGCAAGACACGCATCGGTATATGATATATCCTCCCCTACTCTCTAAACATGACGCTCCCGCCATCCCAGGCCTTCAACTCCCCCACGTTCACCCTACACACCTCCTTGAACCCGTACTTGGGGTAAAACGCCTCCACGCTCCTCAGCCCAACCAAGTACGAGGCACTGCCAGCCTTATCCACCAGCTCGAGACCTTCCTGGACGAGCGCCCTGCCCAGCCGCTGGCCCTGGTAGACGGGGTGAACAGCCAGCGTGGACAGGTACCAGGCCTCTCTGCGGCGCGGAGTCGTAAGGAACTGCGGCTCGGCGGCACGCACAGCACGGTAGAAGCCGTCAACGGGCTCCGGGTCAATGGGCGAGCGCAAGACCAGAGCCTCGAGGCACAAGTACATCCTGACGAGCGGCGCGAACCACGCATCTACACCCCCCACGTCCCGTCCGTCGTCAGCACCGATCAAAACTCCCACAACAAAAAGAAGAAGCACGTACACGGCGACACCCACGTCTCCCAAAAGGTCAATTGACTCGCCGGCCGCAACCACCAGGTGAATCCCACCGGCACGCCGAGCGTCTCGTCCACCACCACCGTCAGCCGCCACCCCATGGTCCACCAGCGCCTCCGAAAGTGCCGGTACAAAAAGGCCGCCACCGCATCCGGGTGCCGCCGCCGCCCGGGAAACATGATGTCCAGGAGGCCGTCGTGCCCAAAGCCCGCGAGGTACAAGCCCGTCACGGTGCGCAGGTCCGCCGCCGTGCCCGCCCGCAAGTGGTAACCCCCCGGAAGAGCCATGACAAGCAAGCACCCCTCAGAAGAACTCTATACCAACGATATAAAGTGACTCTGCCAGCGTGAGCCACTGAATCCCATGACTGGAAAAAGAAAAAAAAGGCCCATCATGATGGGAAGGCCCGTCGTGAAATACTAGGCGGAACATGCTAAGCGCAGCCAGCACTCCCCCACTCTTGACGCTATTTCAACGCCGAATGAGTCAAATACGTGCCCGGAAATGAGTGCGTGATTCCGACGAGTCGTCAAACAAGTGGAATTGGTCCGTCCTTCATTACGAACCGCATTTGACAAGCCTAGCCCAGCTCACTCGCGCCGCTGCACCGAATCAGACCCCCCCCCTTTCTTCCCCTCCGGACGTGACGCCGGAGGATTATGAAGAAAAAAACCACCCCCCATGAAAACCGAAATTCATCAGCACCATGATACGTGTACCAGGCGGCAGGGAGTTTCGTAACTCGGCTCTCGGCTGCACGCTCGGCGCTCGGCTCCCAGGATTCCAAGCATAACTCGTCTCGAAAACGCACGCCGGTAAACATTGTCTTTACACAAAGGCCTCTTCACGTACTATGACGTGCCAGTGGGCATCAAAAACAGCCATCTCGCTGGGGCTGCGGCACCTTGTCAACTTGTGCGTAGATAGATACTGTCATTTCTTTTGTCCCCGTATTGCTTTTGTCGGCTGGAGTACCCGTTGCGGCTTGCGTGTAGTTTGTGGAGTACCAGTTATATCAGAAATCAAATGTCGGTACGCGGCGATGCGTCATGCTGTAGCCTGTGACTTGGCTTTCGTCAGCCCGGCGGGTTCATTTGATGGCGTGGCGTGGCATGGCGTTTCTCTGACGAGGAGTCGGACATGATGATGCGTCACAAAGACAGAAATGCTTACGCAGACGTACATATATACCTAGGTGCCTGCCTAGGTAGGGCTATTGAAGTCTACTCCTTTTAGAGTCATCCCTTCTTCCCAAGCTATCAACCAACTGGTTCTTGAAAGAATTCATCTTCAATCTCATTGTATTTATCCTCGTAGCCTCCGGTATATCCAAGGTATCGACATTAATCGTCATGGCCGCCTTAGCCAAAAAGTCCCCTCCATATGTACGCCTGGAGGATGCAGTATCCAACAATCCATTCAACACACAAGAGACCAAGGCTGCCTCTGTGCCAGTTTCATCGTCCAATTCCAAAACGCCGGTATATCGCAAAGATGACAGAGACCAGATCAAGGCCCTCTCCAAACACAGGCCCAACTTGTTCAAACTACACATGTAGCGATTTCCTGCAACTCAGGACGCATTGCCCATGACCAGAACAAGGAGCATACCATTCAGAATACACGACGCAACAAACGCACTCGACACCATCAGTTTGTATGGGATGGACAGCGGGTCCCGGCGATAGAGCGTCATGCCCAGTCCCGACCCAGCGCAGAACAGACTGACCATAACGCCTATCGTCACACCGGCATCAACTTCAACACGAAGCTTGCGTTTCCCAGTTAGAATCAGCACACTGGCGATGCCAAGCAGTGCAAACGACGCCACGAAGCAACCTAGGGTGCCCCACATCAGCGCCTTCTCTCTATACCTTTGAATTTTCTGCTCGCTGATGCTTGGCAGAGCATAATGCGTAGCATAACCAAGCTGAGGATATCCATCCGAGCTAGCATATCCTTCCTCTTCCGAATCTGTGTTGACGGCAGTGGATGCGTATCCCAAACTGCCTTGGCTACTCAGCTCTGAAGTAAGAAGGGGTCGAGTCTCGTGGCTGGGTTGCCTGGATTTGAACCATTGCTTTGCTTTTTCATACGGCAACGATAACAAGGCATTCACATATGCAAAACCAGGAAACCCAGTATCTTCTTCGGGGTTGATATAAATGGCATATTCATCCTCGGGCCCTCCCGCCTCGCTGCCATCATCATACTCGTTCCAGTACTTAACCGGCGAGTCAATTTTCGCAGCGGGGAGCGGTTCAAAGTCTACATGCCGAGGGCGGCTCTGCTTGGGTGAGGCTGGTTCTGGTGCCGCATGTCCATGAGATTCAGGCGAACTAGGTTCGCTGAAGTGGGGAGTCACCGCCAGTAGGGTAGTGAGTATTTCATCATGACGGCTTTGGAGGTGCTCAAACGTGCGTTTTGTAAAGCTCTTTGGGTCGCTAAGAATGTTTTCATTGAAGCGAGCGGATAGCGTTACTGATCCCGTCCATTTCTGCATTTGCATACGGTGTTAGTTGGGAAGTTGCTGTAGCCAAAGTACACGAAAAAAAAAAAAAAACAGTTAGGTAAATACTGTGCACCCATACCTTGTACTTCTTAAGTATCTTTCGAAAAGCGACTACTTGAGCATTGGCAAACCGTGACAACCCATGGATCTCCTCGCCACAGCGTAACAGTTCCCGTTCGTACTTGGCAAACCTTCGTTGCCGTTTCAACGAGATGGTAGAGTCGTTTGCATCAGAGTACTTGGTAACCCAGCGCTGAATTTGACTTGCGAGATGTTCTTCAGCGGGTAGAAAGCCTCCGTCAGCAAAATGAAGGATACGTGGCGTGTGTACTCCGTACGCGAATTCCAACCACGGAAAAAAAAGAAAGGTGCTCACCTAATCGCCTCGAAATTTCATCCGCCTTACTGGTGATGAAGAGGTCCACCCTATCATGCTGGCGGCATAACTCGCCATACAGATTGTCTTCAAACTTCTTCAAGGTTGCATCTTGATGTCCCGGGATAGCAATGGCGGTGGCCTGGTCCCGGGTCGTGTGTACCTTGATCTCATGTTTCAGAGAGTTGTAGTCGAGATTGTCTGAATGGGGCGCAAGAAGAGGCGGTAGTGTCAGCGTAGGCGGAGATGTGCGACAGGAAAGGATCGGCAGAAAATGTAACGGTAAGGCGCAGACTCTGGGGTTGGGAGGGGGCACACATGGGAGGGAGGGCTGTGAGAGTTTGGTCAAAGTTTTGGGGCGACCATGTCATGGATGCAGGAGGACGGTCGGAGGGAGGAGGCGTTTGGCGCAGGCAGTTGCGAGGGCTGCACTTGCCATGGCTCGATGCGCGATGCAGGATGCCCATTGCAGTTGCAGCCCGAGTTGCAGCAGTCCACGATGCTCGATGGCAGAGGCGGCACAGGCTGATTGATGCAAGGACGGGTGGATGGAACAGCACTTACAGAGGCTCCATTCTGGAACAGACTCGTGCTCCAACTGTTGCCCGTATTTCATTCCTCTTGCTAACTGGTGACTGCGGCCAGTATTGTCGTGGTGGGCAAGGTTGTGTTATTGCATCCCGCGTGGCTAGACGAAGTTTGAACGCAGCAAGCCGTGGCTCTCTGTTGGGCCCAGTGCTGATGTCACAGCTGGTGCAAATGCAGGTCGCCGCAATTCGCTGCGATGGCCGCCAATCTTGTCGAACCAGAGCCGGTCTGCACAGCAGCAAGAACCAGACAATCTCAAAAGGGCCAAGAGCCAAGAGCCGAGATATATGGAACAGGAAACGGCCCCGTGTGCTGAATATATGTTCGATTGCAATGGGCGTAGCAGGCAATTCAATGGTTCAAATTCGGTCTGGTGTTTCTCGGGAGGCCGTTGGTGAGACAACAAAACAAAAAGACGGCGCGGCAACAGCAGGGTCCGGAATGCAAAAGCTGAACAGTCGCAGGTAAAAGAAGGGTCTGGATGAATTGGTCTGGGAGCCAGTAGGACGAGAGGCAACCTGCGATATACCAATGTATAAAAAGAACAAGTTGGAAAAGAAGAGTGGTGGCGAGGAAGATGGCGGAGGCCGTCATGATAAGGATGACTGAACGGGCACCCTGCCAGCAAAGGACATGGAGGCACTGGGCACTGGGCACTAGGTACTAAGCGCAAGGCACTGGGCCGCCCAGAGGTCATGGCAAAGGCATTGATAGCAGACCGGCCGGCACTTGTGACGGCACCGTGCATGGCGACGCCGAAGGCGGCGGAGGGCCAAGCAGCCCAGTAATTTCTCTCTCATCATCATCACTCTAAAAGGCATTCCGTCACCTCAGAGTCAAGGGCCAGGTCCTGCGTCACGACAATAGTCCCAGACACTTGCGCAGGTGCTCTGTCCAGTGTCCGTCTCTGGGCCCAGTGTCTAGACTCTGGCTGGTCGTCCGGTTAAACGCCACAGTCAACCGACGACGCTGTATGGCTGCGCCGGCCTGGAAACTGGGGACTGGGCAGGGAGATGCACAGGGAGTCCAAGGCAAAGAAAAGGTTATCGTTGCCATGATGCTTGGGTCGAGTGGAGCACCATCTGAATGAGAATGACCCCAGCAGCCCAGCATGCTGGCTCATGCATGTGAGCGGTTCAAGTGGGCAAATGCATGTATGTACGTATGTATGGCACAATGGCAATGCGTTTCTTGTCCTCGGCAGCTAAGTCTTATATGTTGAAACTTCCATGTCCCAGCAATTCCTGGCAGACTTCTTTTCAATCTGGAGAGCGAGCTCGGCATCATCGAACCTAACTGGGTACCTGGGTAGGTATCTGCACAAGATATACCATCAAATACGAGGAGGCATGCATGTACTTTATACTTCATATGTACGGAGTAGTGCAGCTTGAAATTCGTCCTGCTTCTTGAGCCGCCAACCCCGCCCGAACGTGCCTTCCTCCCCATGGCGGTTCGTCTGCCTCTATCTCCTCCATGATATGCCCGTCTGTGCTGTATCCAGACGTCAACGTCCCTTTCCTCTAAACCAGCAACCAGTGCAGCCTGAATTACCAATCCTCTCATCCGCGAGCCCCAAATGTATGTTACAGAACTCCATCGTACCCGCTGCCAATGGTACGGCGGGCCTGCTGTCATTTTAGTCTGGTATCCTTCAATCCTCGACATCCTCGCAACCTCGCAACCTCGCGCCTCGTTCAATTCTTCAGTGGAGTTCCGTGCCCGCCCCATGCCCCGATGCAGGCCGTTGTTCAATCGAATGCCGCCGTCACAGCAGGTGGCCGCTAATCGAAATCGTGAGCAAGGGTCCCGGCAAGCCAGTGCCAATTTAAGGAGCTGCAGAGGGCCACAGAAACCCGCCGAACAGGTGGGCACGTCTTTGCCACCTCCAGTACAATATTCTCAGTATTCTGGTTACTGGTTACTGACCTAGTTGCAAATCTATCTCAAGTGATTCCTCGGCCGATTGGTGATCGCTGCACCAGCCACCAATCTAGAATCAACTTCTGGTTGCAACTAGCTCTACAGGGTTTTGCCCACACTATATACGCCGGGCCTAAAGCTAAGCTAGTTTCGTAATGACTGAGTGTCATTTAATGATCTTTGGGGGCAGGAGAAGAACAAACGCGAATAATACCAGATCAAGAGTTACAGGTGGGAAACACGAGTCTTTGATTGTCGAGACTAATGCCTCACCGCAACCATCAGACGACCCTCTGATGCAGCTTCCTTTTTCAAGAAGTTGGAACTATCAGCACCCCAGCGGCTTCGTGGGCACTTACACTGCTTACCCCTGCGAAAGAGACGACGCAATGTTATCTGCTGCAGCAGATAAAGACTGTATCCGAACCTGTAGGGTGAAGTCCCCTCCCAAGGAAGAGCACGCTGCCACCACCTGCAATGACCTCGTCCAATTAGCCTCAAACACTATCATCCGGTCACGATAAGAATTCTGACACGTACATGGCCCCATAAACGAACTGACACAGTCTATATTGTTTTGTAACCACTCCTGCTTGTATGCATACATGATCATGCAAAATGCAATTGGAAACTTCCCCGCATCACATGATGCAGAAGACGCCCTGCGAACCTTCGACCTATGGAACTTTTTTTTTTTTTTTTTTTGGATTGAGGAGCAGATACGCTGTAGGCGGAAGCTGTTGGTCTTTATGTGACCACACATCCTCTAGATTTCTCGTAGCTTCCTCTGGTGTTGAACCGATGTCTTCGGTCCGAGGTATGTATTCCCCGGACTCAGCCAGTGGCTTGGCTTGGCCCCCGTGCGCGACAGCATTACGCAATATACATATCATAAAGACTCGCCAGGATAATTAGTTTCCGGGACATATCTACATATTACTCTTTCTTCTTTGCTTTTCTTTTCTATTTATTTTCTTCACTCTTTTTCTTTGTTTAAGAGGAGAGAGAGTTCGAAGCCATGACATCTCCATGGACGACAAGATCCGTCGAATGAATCCTGAAGACCCTTCATACAGCATATCGAGATCAACGACGATTGCTTGGCAAAGGGGCCATGGCCCATTTATGTGGGATACCCTCCACCAAGAACCCCTACTCTTGCCTTTGCATGAGACCTGTCAAATCTGGCACCACGACTTTGACGCTTCAGGAGAGATGTCGTAACAATGTTGGTGAAGTACGACACCTCAACCAATGGCTGAACCGGTTAGTTCAGCCGCCACAGTTACGGCAGTCTGTTGTGTGTCTGTGAACACCGATGCTTTGTCTCTGCACCAGTCCTGATTCGACTATCGAACCTTGGGACCTATGTACGAGAGGCCACCAATTATGTCGTTAGTTTGTCAGGCGATTGGCGTTTTTAACAAGCCGCTCAGCATGCCTTATATCCACCACCCAAATTGCTGCACGCCTGGAGCTAGCCACTATTGCTTTCTGGGCTGATAACCGCGAGTCATCAGTTACACACGAGAGTGATGGAAACATTGAAACTTCAGTATACCAATAGCCGGCGAAAGAAGCGCCCCCAGGATGGGAATCGGAGCACACTCTATACGCCACTCTCCCGGAAAGTGACTGGCTCCAAAACTTCAGCCGGGGCCAAAGGGAACTTGCCGAATGTTGATCCTGCGCCTCGCGACATCTGTCCCGTCTCGGGATAACTCGCCACTTGAAGATAGAAGTGCAGAGTATCCTGATGTCCACATCCAATCTACTACTATACGCTGGGAAGTCTCATATCAGACCTACCTACCAGCAACTCCTGTAGGCCGCTAAAGTACATTGCCTGTTGAGGATAAATCACCACGCCGGAGAGGGGCCGAGGAAGCAGCCGCTTCTCCGGATTATAGAAGCGTAGACCAAGTGGTTCGAAGATGAGGTCTAGATCGCCTCGTTGATGCATGGCCTTTTTGAACGGCCGCGTACGGAGTATCGCACTGGCTCGAATCCACCAGTACCGTGACAACGTTCGCATGCCGTCCTCCCCAACCCAACTAGGTTTCTCATACCCACCTGCCAACAGCTGCGCGGGCGAAGAGAACGAGTAAAGACGGACAAGAAACCAACTGAGCGGGAGCCCGGCCTCTAGACGTCCATCCAAATCGGCGGCGGCGGCATGTGTCGCGTGAGAAGTTTCCTTAAATGAACTTCTTCCGACGGGCATTGCGTGTAGTAACACAGCATGCAAAGGCGCATGACTTTTGACAGGCTGGCAGGTTCCGGTTCAAGCCCGTCACCAAAAAAGTTGGCCGTAACTCCGCTGGCGATGTCCATCTCAGTCACCGAGGAACAGAGAGCCGGAAGAGGAGTGTCCGGGTACAAGGACGGCTTATTGCAGGTCGATAATCTTGATCAAGATGCCTGATGAAAGATTTTTGTTTTCCACGGAGTAGTACTACTAGCACTCCGTACCATGTGCGGAATACTGACCCCGGAGCCAGTCTCCACATCTCCACTGGACAGCTCGCCGGGAGGCTTATTACTTCTAGTGTGCAAATTTGAGGCTGGATGGAAGCGGCAAGTGGTCACATGGCCCAGTCGCGTGCCTCGAGTGACAATGCCGAAACTTCGAACTCGTTTTTTTTTTTTTCAACCTTTCGCAGTACCAACGGGCGTGTGGCGTGTGGGGTGGAGACCCAATGCAAGATTGCCAAGGCGTGGAAACGTGCAGCTGTAAAAGTCGATTCGTTACATTGAGGATTCTTACCAGACAGAAAAAAAGCTGAGACAGCAACCAGTATACGGCTTCATACAATTCCATACCGAGGGCTCAGCATACATTCCAAATAGCATCAGGCTTTTGACCTAGTATTTGGATCCATTCCCAACCCGGCGTCAAGCCGTAAAATCGGGCCAGAAAAAAGGAGAGAGCCTAGCCTACATGCATCAAGTATCACAAGCCAAGGCCGATTGCACCACCGGAATAAAGTGACGGTTTGGCGTACGGGCTAGCCAAGTGCTCGCAATGTAACCTAACAATCGAATTACCAAGGCGCTGGTGTAACATGAATGACTACAACTAACAGGCCCGACAGGTTTCGCTGTCATTTATGACAGAGACGGCTCTAATCCCTGGACGCACTTGCACACTCGGACCGGGGTAACGCGAAGCCTTTGGCGTGCGCTTTGATTGAGGCCAATTGCAGAATTACACAGGGCGTGGCTTGGGATATCCAACAACCGCCGTGAACCACCGAGGTAGTACTCCGTGAACTACCCAGTTATTGAGGAAGCTCCTCCGTTGTCCCCCAGCACGGAGCATGCACCGGGTTTCTCATCTGTAGACGGCCACCGACTTTGGATCCGCTGGTACCAATATATTTCTCGCCAGGTCGGAACGGAGAAGACTAGCTATAGTAAATAGCGTGCTTGCAAAGGAACCGAAGAAATTTGGTCCGGCGCAGTCTTCTGACGAGACCTCGTTACAAATGTGGCAGTTGGGCGACGGGCCTGCATGGCAGCTGAATTCATCATGTCCAATCACAAATCTTCTTCGTAGCTTCAATATATTGCCATGTCCCCTGTCCTTCTGCTTCTATTGCCACGGTTTTGTGGTTCAAAATGTTATTTCACCCTAGCATCTAATCTTTCCTCCGCAATGCATGCATGCGAAGTGCATTGTCCATGCACGAAACGAACCTCCGCCCCTCTCAAAAGGGCCAGCTGTCCTGCCAAACGAAAATGCAAAAGCTGTCGAATATGTAACCACTAAGAATAAAAAAAGTCTCCCAAAAAAAAAAAAAAAAGCGTCGAGTTTTCTTCATCAGCTTTTATGCGCGCATGACAAACCAGAGCGGTTACTGCTGATGTTGTGAAACCTCGAGAAGATGGCATGCTTCCACCATCCCAATGACGTTATCGCCGTCCGTGACACAAACAATGGATTCTGTTACGCAAGAGATATCTTCAGCGTCGTCTCGTCGGGCCGTCCGGATCATGTTGCCCGCTTGGTGGATTGTCGTGTCGGACGACATGACAATCATGTCGTGGCGGGATACGAACATGTTTGGCAACTCCCCAACGGTCTGGTTCATACCAGTGTTGCTAATCTTCCTTATTCTACTGGGCGCCGCAACCTTGTCCTCCATTCTTATCCAGCCGGACTTGGAGCCGAATCCTGCCCGGAGAAGATCAATGCCTGTGGCCTTTGACGACAGTTCGAGTCCTTCAAGTGAAGGGATATCCGCTATTGGGACGCAAATGTGTCCCAGTATCTGGGGCGGTTTCGCGGTCGTCGCCGCTGCGGCACCAATGGCACCCCCTGGGTGATTCTTTGCGAATGCTGCAGACACATTATGGTGAATCTCGTTGGCAACGGTGATTGCTAATGCGTCACCGAGTGCCAGTGCGGCGGTTGTCGATGTCGATGGTGCAGAAACCCCAAAGGATGCCTGCTCGCTTTCAGGGATCGGGGCCGGTAACAGGATAGTCCTCGGACGCCGCTTGATGAATTCGCACGTATCACGGTGAGTATGGGACGTGAGCAGGATGGTTGGCAATGCGTCGTCCAAGTGTGGCAGCATCAGCATCAGTTCCTGTGTCTTTCCGGAGAAGGTGATGAAGAGTAGTGTGTCGTGGGCGTCAATTATACCCAAGTCTCCATGCAATGCCTCGGTTGGATGCAGGAAGACGGCGCGTATATCTAGACTTTGCAACGTGGCGACGAGTTTCTTGCCAATATGGCCAGACTTCCCGACACCAATCACAATGAGCTTTCCGCTGGTCAAAGCTTGGCGTGTAATCACCTGGACAGCTTTGTCAAACCCTTCGCGGGCCGTTGAGTCTGTTTCATACAATTTGGTCAGGGCAGCCAATGCTAGTGCTTCCGTGTTCAAGACGTGTAAGCCGCGGCGGAGACGGCTTTCCTTGGACGGCGATTCCTGAGGGCATTGTTGATAGCCGTTTTGAGCAGACTGCTGTTCATGCTGCCTCTCCCGCTCCTGATCTTCTAGGCTGAATGGTTCTGTTGGATCGACTAGGGCTTGGTCTGATGGCGAGGCACACGGTGTTGGTGGGGATGGCGGTGGAAGAGCTGGTCTTTGTCTTGCGCCAAGTACTATCACGGCACTGGTCTGGATGGGCCGGCGTTCTGCGTGGCAGTTTTCGGTCATGTTGACGGTTTGAGGCGACGGACCCCCGCGTTGGGACGACAGAAAGTGTGGCTGATGGCTTGAGAAACCCCAAACTTCCTGTTCACGCCCGTTCTATGCTCATGTGTTGTCGCAGAAAAGGAAATCCGTACGAGGTTACAACGCTAGGCTAAGCCAAGATATTTGTAAATCGTCAAGTGCGCAAACAATCCTGATCTCTTCTTGTTTCTCAATGCCACCCGCAGACTCAAACCCAGAGCCAACGAGGCTCAAAATGGAGAGCGACTGGTTGGCCTCATTCGGATCCTGTTGCGCCGTGCCGACGGGGTATGTATGTATTGCAAGAAATGGCGCTTACAAATCGACGGTTTGCAGAGCCGCCTCTCTCTCTAGAACAGCGAGTCTGTCGCAACGGAATCGCAGGGAGACGCCGAATTTGAGGGAGTGCCGTGGCAACTCAACATGCAAACTATGCTTGACAGGAAAGAGTTCCAGTCTTCTGTGCACTTCCACGTTGCATCTTTAACTTGACCATGACGGCCCTTGATCTCGGGGTACCGACCGAGTCAATTACGTGTTGAAAAAAAGTGCTTGGCCTGGAGGGTCCTGCGGCCTATCGTGTGCTATGATTGGTCCAAAGCACTCGGAGAGCCGAAAAAAACGATAGTGGCGTCGGCTCGGCCTCACTTTCCATGTGTCTGATAATGCACGTTAAGCCGCTTCTTCATGCGTTTCGAAACTAGCGCGCATCATGGAGAAACAATATTCGAGCGTCATTGACTCGTCCATGGTACCTGCATTGCTGCTGCGGCCTGCTTCGCCTTATGGTCACGATTCCATGGCATGCATGCCCCGACCTGTCCTCAGTTTTGGGGACGACACCATCTGGAAAATGGAAGGGCATCACATAGCAGGAGCCGCTGTGAGGTCGTCGACTGTATCAGCACCCTTGGACCGCACCCGATGCAATCATCGATGGCGTCAGCTCACAAGATTTGGATCGGGCTTGGACCAACTTGGATGTAGCGGCGTCACGCCATCGGTCGGAGGATCTGCCGTGCTTTTTAGTCTACTACGAGTGTTACTGGTGAGCATCGATAACGGGGCAGGCGTGGCTGAGTGGGTGTCAATGTGAAGGAACAGCGTTGATAGACTGTGAACGTCAAGGGAAAAGGTGTGGTGGAAGGGCATTCAAATGATTCAATGCCTCCAGGTGCCCTCTGGATTTTTGAGGAGATGAGGCGGCCAACGTGCCGTTGACCGTGTCAAAATGCCCCTGCCCCCCACGTGCACTCACATTGACCAGGAAGGAGCCATCAATCTCCCTCCTCTTTCCAATTGACTTTTGATTCTACTCCGCAAAGCCATGGAATCAACGAAATTGATGCCTGTGTGGCGCTTGGGCTGAGAAACATCCACCCGGTGGAAGCTTGCACAAGTGAGTAATCTGATTCATCTTTGGTTTGATACCAACCGTTGCCGCCAACTTCTGAATTCCCTTGATCAGCGTGAGCCAGGCGGATATTAGCCGGCATGGGTTACGGTTCGTTTCGATCAATGCCTGATATTTTTTTCCCCAGTCCTAATCGTGAAATAGCTATGGAATGATTGATCATAACCTGAATCCTGTGATAATTCAAAAGGGTCATCAACCAACAGTGGCTATGTATCACTCCACTCACTACCCACAGATTGCTAGAATCCTTATCACAGCACATACCTAATTGACAACAGCATGCTTTATACTCTCGAAACCCAGAACGCGATACCACGTCTCCTATCTTTTATCGTTGTTAGCCATAGCTTCAATGTATCAGCGGCGGTCTCGAATTGCAATCATCCTGATTGATTAACCGGGAGAACCCAAAATCTCATCGTTATTGTTCCGAATGCTATGAAAGCCTCGCGATAGGCTTTGTAGCTCACATCAATCGGTCAAGTGAACCATCTAGGCCAGTGCTGCGTGTAAAGTAGATCTGCCCCGTGACGATAGGTCCTCCCTTCTATCCGAATCCTCTCCCTGGATTTGTTACAATTGCGCTGTTTGAGTCATGCCACTGTTAGACTTAGACAC